GAACCGAAACTAATGAAAATTGTTCATAAGTTAAATTCTTATTCTTCTCCATGCCTTTCTCCTTTCACCTATCTCTTGTAGCTCTCGCAACGTTTGTCCTTTTGCCAAACATCTCATCTCCATTCACACAAATTTTTCAGTTAGGTTGTCCGTTGTATTTAACTATCCATCTTGCCTTCCGTTGAAACACCGGTTCACGTAAGATCACCGAAGTTAAGCAACGTCGAGCCAGGTCAGTACATAAGATGGGTAACCGCTTGGAAATACCAGCTGCTGTAAGCTTGGATGTGTGGATGGCGTAATGGGTAGTGTATCGGAATTGTTAATCGGAAAGCCGAATTGCAAACTGGGCTCGTTATATTCAACTACGTGCAAATAAACTTGGGGAATGCATGAATTCTTTCTCACGTTAGAGTTTGATATACCGACAAACAGAAACAACTAACAAACCAACTCTCGATATGCCCTGTGAGTGACAGCTTCACCAAGCCATCTTTCCTCATTATATATCTGAGACAATTTTCTTTCTGATTCTAAGTGAGCTTTATGCTTTCGTTTTATTACTAAACAATCCGGCAATACGCTATATCTTTTCTCTAAAACGTTTTTTTTACTGAAAAATGTAGCAATACACTAAATGATTTTTTTCTAAGAATTGCTTTGACAAAACAATTCGGCAATACACTATAAAATTTTCCCTAAAACTTGTTTTTTCTAAACAGTACTGCAATACGCTATAAAATTTTCTATGAAAGTTCTTGTACTGAACACACTGGTTATAGACTATATAATTTTCTCTAAAACCTCTTTACTGAACAGTCCGGAAAGGCACTATATGATTTTATCTAAAATCGTTTTTACTAAACAATCCGTCAATACAAATTATTATTTTCTTTGAAACATCTTTTACTGAACAATCTGGTAACAAACTATATCAGTTTTTCTAAAACATTTTTGCTAAACAATCTGTCAATGCATTATATAATTTTATCACAGAACATTCTACGAGAATTTTACTTTCCATTTTCCTTAAGATTTTTTCGCTGCTTACACGCTCTCTATACAAAATCCTCTGCATTCTTCTATAGAACCATATTTCACTTGCCTCCAAGTTTCTCGTCATCTGTGAGGATAATATCCAGAATTCACTCCCATAAATGTTAAATTGAACAATTAAAAAATAAGCTTCATAAAATGCCAATCTAACGAAACGAAGAATTTTACAAATTAATAAGCCATTCCATTCGAATATTAACAATGCATTTACAATTAATACTCATTAATGAAATACTTAAGGCAACATTATTTTTTAATAATTTTTTTGAAAATAAATATCACCCAATAAAAGGATCTCGCAATATTCGACTTAGAAAATTACTTTTAAAATGCTTAATGAGGTGTAATATGGGTGAAAGGTGGAAATAGGAAGTAAATATTACGAGGATAAGGAGGATGGATAACAACTGATACTTGACTTATAAACGTTAAGTTTTTGTTTCTTTTATATTGAAAAATAAACAAAAGTATATCAAAAGCATATATTTATACATTACCATTTTATATCTGTTCCCTAAAGACAAGATCTGCATTTGATTTTTTTGTCTCTAGAAGATCGAAATAATTCGCTGAAAAAAATAACTCCCTGAATAGTCATTAAAAATCGAAACAATTTAATCCTTTGTAACATTTTAAATAGTTTATATTAAACCTTACACCGCAACGATAAAAAATTGCCTATATCCATAAGAAGATTTATTAACTTTATTTGCATACAGACCATTGACCTGATCTTCGTTGCGCTTAACCCACTCGTACGGCACCAAATATCTTTGATTTTGAATCATTCTTAAAGCTTGCAAATATTTCGAAACTGTTGTGTTATCAACTCCCAATGATTCTGCAAGTTCGGCTTGCGCCTGACATGTGTATACATGAAGTAATGCCTCCAATTCTTCGTCTTCAAACGTTTTCGGTGCGTCAGAACATTTTTTTTTATCTTCAACATCAGTCATTATTTTTGAAGCGACTAAACCAGTCTCTTTATGTTTTTTTCAACAGAGCATAGTCGCCGTAACTCTTTACATGAACTTTGTGTGCTTCAACTGGAGATTTCTTTTGAATAAAGTAGTGCAGTAAAATTCGCCGGAACGACACTTTCTTTGGCACGAAATCCGACATGTTTAACGCTATAAAAACCGAGTTGTTTACATTTCGGCGAAATGACATACACTTTAATTTCAAGCTTCTTTCTTTCTAGTACTTCCTTATAAGTGCGTTACCATATGAAACTAAACACACGCAGTTATGGGAACACCATCTATTGGAAAACAGCGAGTACTTATTCAAGGTCCTAATATATATATATATATATATATATATATATATATATATATATATATATATATTCAAAAATGTTTTATTAAATAATATAGACATGTCTATTTATTTTTTATAATAATCCTTTCTAATCAGCTTCCTGATTTTAAGTTCAAATCCATCAAGGGAGTCGCCGTAGATTTTCCTTACCAGAGTACTTTACGCTTTACCATTAACTGAATTAAAAAAAATAAACAAACTCTCATTAGTAAGGACTTTCCTAATTACATAAACATTGATAAACAAATTAGACGAACTATAAGAAATATTAATATAAATAAAAAAGAACATAACAATTCCTGAAATAATCCTAAATATATCAACCTACTACAATTGCTTTCTAACAGTAAATACAATGGAAAAATCCTAAAGAATCTAATATGTATTCATAGATTCCCAACTGGTCCTAATAAAAACCTAAAACTAATTGTGTATTATACGAAATTTAACACAACGAACTTAATCATACGCAATAACTCTTCCTTGTCAACTAGGGTTTTGGAAAAGACCAAATATTGCATTTCAATTTAAATGTCCTTTGGGAGATTTTATGTCTGACAAAAAATAATTCCATATGATGTCTGACGACCACAAACATATCAAGACGTCTGATACTCTATGCATCGGATACATATTATTTTGCACAACATTTAAAGAGACATTCATGATGTTCACCTTCACAATGGAGAAACAATTCTTTTAGGCAACACCAATATACTACACCACGAAAATAAAGAAAAATCTCCAAATTTTTCAAGGCCGTCCACATTAAAAGTTACCAACCAACATTGAATAAATTTATTTCGAGTGTAGCAGCCACGTTTTGAAATGCATTTGACTAACATTTAATGCAATTTTGCATTTCTACCTCTTCTGGTTATCCTTATTACATTGGGACGCTTGTTTTGAGGAAACCCTATAGCCACAAGAGATAAATTTAAAAATTAAAATAATTCAATCAGAGCGCGATCAGGAGAGTTTTCAAAAATCACCATCACAACGATCACAGTTACATTATGGTTGTCTTTGCAATACACCCCATAAGGAAGATCTCGGAGAAGATCGAAAGTAGTTGGGTAAGAAAAACCTACAGCACCTTTCCTTGATAAATTTCAACTTAAATTTAAGAAGTTCATTTGATAAATTGACTGGATTTTTATGAAAATAAATATCTATATTATTTAATGAACATGTTTGAATTAACATATGCTGCCTAAATATGCATATATATATATATATATATATATATATATATATATATGTGTGTGTGTGTGTGTGTGTGTGTGTGTGTGTGTGTGTGTGTGTGTGTGTGTGTGTATGTGCGTCCATACACCAATAAGGCAGCAACTCTGAAATCAAAGTCATAACCTATTTAATCATGCATATATATATATATATATATATATATATATATATATATATATATATATATATATATATATATACACAAGTGTTGTCATATTTTGCTGGGAGCTGCACAGACATCATACTCCAGTTTTGATAGAATCCAAAAGTGTTTCTCAGGCCGTGCTATATTACTTTCCACCCTCTCTCCCACAGGCGCGACGTGGCAAGCATGTCGCTGCTCTACTGCTACTTGTGCGGGGAGTGCACGGGCAAACTACATTCCCTGGTGCCCCCAGTTCAAACCTTTACGGCTAGGACTCGTCATGCTATTTACATCGTAATAAGCCACCCATATTCCCTCCGTATTACATCGGTGAGAAGTAAGTTCCACTCTAACAGTTTCTTTCGCTGAACCAAAGCCCCTGTGGAACCGCAAGAAGGTGTTTCCCCAAATACTAATATCTTACCCTGGTCAAGGCATTGGGTTAAATGTTATCTTCCACTCATATCCGATAAATTTCCTTTTAACGTAAACCTTTTACCTCGAGTGGCCCCCAGGTCTTGTAATTTCATGTAAAAAAAATGCTTTAATAAAATGCGCCATAATAACCTCTGAATATAACTTTTTTCCCCTTTTTTTCAATGAACAACATTCATTTTAATTTTGAAAATTGCCTCAGGTTAAAAATAGCAAAATTCTTTATTATACTTATTATAATTCGTTATTAGTCTTTCCTTGCCGATGGCAATATTTTTTTCTCTTTACAGTAATTTGAATACAGAGAGGAAATGATGACCTTCCTGTAAAGCGAGTAGGTTATAATTTGCAAAATGATACTTGGTTACTAAAATTAATCTTTGGCTCAATTCTGTTGTAAGAATTTATCTGTTTATAGTAAAGGAAATTAATTTATAATATGAGTTCTACTTTACTTTCTATAATGAGTCTCATACTATCGTCACAAGGCCAAAAGTATAGAGCTCCCAGTGAGGACCGTATTCACTAAACAACCAAAATTTATCTAACGGGACATTCAAGCAAACCATTACACCAAGTTGAAAGGACACCTTGACGTGGTGCACTGTTGGATTCGCTAAAACAATTACGACTAATTACTGAGTTTAAGCCTCACTAGGCGCCCCATACATTCAGCCTTGTGCCACATCCGAGCAAAGCTTAGAAAATCATCACCATTTCGGATTGTTCAATAGTCATTTTGAATGTATATTTTGAGAAATTTGCTTACTAAATGCAGTACTTGAACATGGCCGTGTCACAGTGAAACTCTGGTTCTCATCCGATCACCGAAGTTAAGCAAGGTCGAGCTTGCCCAGTACCTAGATGGGTGACCACTTGGTAATGCCAGACGCTGTGGGCTTGGTGGTTCCATGAATGCCTGCACTGAATTGGAAATCAGAAAGACGAGTTCCAATTCCAGGTCATTACGCCATTTTCACTTACATGAAAATATCCACCTCTAGTCACCCAGATATGGGTTAAAGAGTAGGATTTGTACCAGCAAATCTTTATATCCTCCTCAAAATTCTTACAATCTGAAAATATTTCCTGGCTTTAAATAACCTGAAAAAAAGATTGATAAGCCATAAAAAAAAAACATATGAATCAATCAGACTTTGGGATTCCAACTGCTGTATTGTTCCAATTATAAAAATCAGCTTTAAATTTGACGATCCTTATCAGAATTGTATTTATGGTTATTCTAATACATGTAACTTTCAACATAAATTTGATTACTATTCTTAGTAATGTCTTCTACTTAAGATTCGTTCTGTTTAAAATCATTTACGAATATGATCTTTACTTACATTTTATTTATGCAGTTGTCTTACTGAGGTACTTGCTTTATTTTATAATTACATTTATGGCTTCTGTCGTCTTCATGATTATTTTTGCAATACCGTCTTGCTTTTGTTTTACTAGGCATTTTATTTTACGTTGTTCTGGTAGATGTGATGAATTTCACCAGCTTTAAATGGAAGATAATATTATTGACAACAACGCTGAGAAACAACAATAAAAATGGAGTCTTGTAATCATTTTTTCGTCCATTAGATAATTAAATCTCCTGATATTATGTTTGTTACTCTAACTTCTTATACCCTATTCCATATCTTTATTTCCTTCTTCTTATTTTTACTTTTGCACCTAACGTTTATTTTCCTTGGGTTTTTATAAAAGAAATCAGCATTCAGTGTTTTTCAGCTCAAGTGTTGCTATTCTTTTTATCAAAGGTTGAGTTTCATACACGTATTTCTATCATTAGCGTTAGATCGCTCAAACTGTACTCCATACTATGTGCCGAAAAGAGATTTCCTTCAATATGATACTTTACCACATCTTATCTTTACACGTTCCTATCAAATTTATACGAGAAACTGCTTGCTTCTCTGAAGTTTAGTGAGACTGATAAATATCCTGCTTTATTTTTTAAGAACACATAAATGTTATAATAAATTATACGAATGATACGAATGATTCAAGTTTCTTTGTGAGTATATAATAAGTTACAAAGCGTATCTTGGATGTGGCACAAGGCTGAAAGTGTGGCCATCCATTGAGGAACGAACTCATTACTTATTGTAACATATATATATATATATATATATATATATATATATATATATATATATATATATAATTATTTATTCGAAAATTATAACATAAAGATGTTATAAAATCACTACAAAAGTAGCCATTTCGTTTTAACACTTCTGGTGTCTTGTCAAGTGATGGTGTTGAATGGTGTTGAATGTATAATGAAGGGTTTTAAAAGGTTCAAATCAATCAAACATCCCTCGCAAATGGACATGCTGTTACATAACCTGGAATGAACATTCAAAATAGAAGTATATGAGAATTCAAAAAACTTCATAACGGATTTTAATGTTGTAATAATTATTTAATGCTTTTATTTTGGGGTTAGACTAAAGTAGAATTCATTCTAAGAAATATTAAATTATACTATAAAATCTGAAATTAGAAATTACCACTTTCAAATTTTAAATTTAATCTATATTAGGTTTAAAATTATTTAAAGAAGAAACCAAGGGAAAATACATGTTTTTCTATTTATTTTGTTTTTATTGAAATTAAGTTGGAATAAACGTTAAGATCCAATGCTGCTCTAAACCCCATGACAATGATACATTCGAAGCAAGAACATGGGCAGGGCAGGATTAAATCTTGCAAAAGACAATACATACACAATCAGATTATAATACATAAACAGGCAGACGTATTTAGATATATAAACACGCAAAAAAGCAACGAGACAGGAAATATCTCCACAACCCCCCAAAAAAACGACATCATACATATACAATGAAAGGTACACACAAGTACAAACATCACGACAAAGACACGCGCATACATTGACAAAGACACGCTGTTACACTATCTATAAGACCATTGGAAGCCTTAAATTTTATTTTTATTTTGGTTTAATATTCCACAAAAATTTAGTATAAATTTGTTCATATTTTCCTTATTCTTCTTCTCTGTTCCGATTCCCTAAGGGCGTAAACGATCCTGATTTTCCATAATTTCCTGTCCTTGGTAGAACTTAATAAATTTTGTCTTTTGTTGTCTCTCCTAAACCTTGTCCCGCCATTCATTTACTGAACCTCACTAAATAGGTTATGCGTTGTTTTCCTCAATCCATCTTACCATCTATCTGTCCAGTGAGTATTAAATCACCCGTGTCGTCTTTCCTTATTATGTGTCCTAGAAATATCAGCTCTCTTTTTTTGATATTAAGTTTCCTTTTTGTTTCCATTTTTTCCGCTGCACTACGTGTAAGACCATTCGAAGTCTTCAATTTTAATTTGGGTTATTATTCCACAAAAATTGAGCGTAAATTGACCATAAATTATTACTCAAATGTTCGGTCTATGTATCCTCAGCAACCTTCTGTAGAATCATATTTCTATGACTTCATGTCTCTTCTTCATCTTTGAGGAGATTGTCCAGCATACAGGAGGATTGATATCATATGATATTTCAGTATTATTTTCTTTGTTTCGAACGATTTGTCTTTCTGTTTCGTAATACTCTGCTTAGCTTTTGAAATGCATCTTTGGCCATCCCAATACGTTTTCGGATCTCAGTGTCGCACATTCCGTCGTCTGTTAAAAGACTTCTGTGATATTTAAATGTTTGTACTTGTTTGATTTTCGTACCTGCAATTAATAATTTGCAATTTAGGCTTTTCCTTTTGCTATCAACCATGCACTTTATTTTTTATTTTTTATTTTTTTGCAATTGATCTTTACTCCTTTCTTTTTGCTTTCCTTCACAACATTCTGTAGGAGTTTTATATTTTCCTTTCGGTTCCTGCTGACAATAATATGCCCTCTGCATATATTGTTAAGATTGTGGCTGTCAATAATGAATTCTGGTAGAACTTCTAATTCTCTCAGAATCGCCTCACTCTATAGGTTGAAATAGCCCGGTGAGAATTTACATCCTTGTCTTGCATCCTTTTTTCATTTTTGCGTAACTGCTGAATACATTTACTCTCTGTAGGCAGGCGGCTGGCTGACACATATAGGTTCTTCAGAAATATGTCGAATTACCAGTTTTGTTATATGGTTCATTCGACTAATTGTCCGATTAAGTTTACATTCTTTTGCACATGGCTTCGGAGGCGCTGTTATGAAAATAGATCTACTTGTCTTCCGGTATATCACAACTGCCGCAGATTTAATTTATTATATCTATTCGGAAATCATCTAAAGCTGCTAGAATCTCCATTACAATTCCGTCTAGACCTTCCGTTTTGTTTCTGTTCAATTCGATCACTGCCCTTTCCCCTTCAGATTTCCGATTATTCGATATTTCTGTGTATTGTCAGTTCTCTTATGTCGTGAACGAATTCTCCGGTATATTTCGTCCATATTTGAAGTATATATCTTTCTTTGTTATCAGTGTTGCCTCCTTCGAATAATTTAATAACAGCAATAATTATTTGGGTTAATAGATAAAAATGGCCTGCTTTTATGTGTCGCGTTCTTTCAAAACATGGTTAATGTTGGCTTTACACAAACTCTTACAAAAAACTTTACCAACCCACATTGTCCCCGCATTTCTATCCATTATGACAAACATTTATATAGGTTACTCGATATTTGCATCTGTTTCTCCTACTTTCGATATCCCATGTAAGTCTTAAATTCTCCAAGCTCTCTTTTAGGAGGGACCTGTAATTTGATCACCTACTGGAACTCAAAATCAACCTAGATTTCAAATAGAACTTGTACATACATAAGAAAAATTCTGGAAATAAAAGTTAGGTTCTCTGTACTGCTCTACTAAGAATCTGGCCCCTCCTGTTATTCCCTATCTTTACATGATCCAGATCAGGCTTAAAAATGGAATACTGCTGCCATATATAGCCGGGAAGTGGGCAGACTTTGCTTTGTTGTCTTGGATGTGCAGAATTCTCTCCGCGTCTTGTGGGTGATGGTTTATATTCCACTCGGCACCCAATTTCCCACAGACGAAATGTCGCAAACCTCTCTCTGTTCTATCGCTGGAAAGTGTTCAGAAAAAATATATTTCTTAATTACACCTGTTTAAACCTTCAAAGACCAGCCATATCACGCACATTGTGGCGAACCACAGTCATTTCCTTCGTATTCCATTGGTGAGATGTAAGTTCCACTGGAACATCTTCCCGCTAACATCTGTTCTCTGGATCCGACTTCTAGAAAAATGCTTTCGTTAGCACTAACTTAACCTGTTCAAGTCTATAACTAACCGTTATCGTTCACAATACCCGCATCACCTGTGTCTCATGCTCTATAACCCTCTACCATGAGTGGCTCTTCGATAGGCTGAACATCAATGCATACAATTTCACATAGATTTTCGCCTGTTTTATATATAACTTTCCACCTATTCTCGTTAAAACTTTTTCATTCCTCATATTCTGCTCAGGGTATTTTCAACATATCTCTTTTGTTTTATTCACTGACTTATAGAATAAGAGATATGACATTACACTTAGGCACTATTTTTATGTTGCAAACGAAATTATCTTATCTCTTTATATTTTATTTAGTGGCTTTTCTTTTCATTAGCTTACGTAGTTTCTTCTGCTGTTACATTGCATCTTCGTTAATTGCCAAACATCACTAAACAGAAACAACTGCAAAGCTCCATGGTTGAAAACATCAATACACCTCTAACCTACTTAATTTTATAATTGTGTTTTTTATTTAATCAAGGCAATTTAGACGACATCCACTTCTTTAGACCTATCATAACAAATTTAGCATAGGCGATAAGGGAATTGAACATTAACTTTAGCTGCTATAAATTCCAAAAAGCGCAGGCGTATTTTTAAAACAAT